GAGCTCTCGGCAGGCTGCTGGCGCAGGTGGCGCACCTGAAGCTCCTGGAAAATTTGATAGCCAAGCAGCCGACTTGAAGTATCTTTTCATACATCGAATCAGCTGTGAGGGTAGGTAGCTGTTAGAGATTTATCACTTCAAGCTTCAAGCTCCTGAAACTTGGGCAAGATCTGCACCCTGCTAGTTACAACTATTCCCATGACACTTCTGTCACTCCTGGTTCACCTGCGGCGCGGCAGGTGCCAGGAAGGCCGTGGCGGCCGCATAGGCACCGGCGCCGGCGAGAGCCACGGAGCAAGCTTTGGAAGGCATGGCGAAGGGACGCAAAAACGAGGCGAGGCGAGATGGTCACAGAAGCTCTGAGCCGAGACGGGTGCGGGATGGAACACATCCGATTGAGCCACAGTCAAACATCTCATCTCCTATAATGATTATTAGTATATGTTAAATAGTATAAATCAAATAACAACTCGCATCAGGAACACCCAGAATGGCAGAGATGCTATCCAGTGTCCAGTTGTTCTTTTAGTGGTGTTCAGAATCCACTTGGCACCTTCCAAGCTAGCAATTCATCAAATATAGCAGTCCCCTTTCTTAGAGACTTTCACACAAGACCAATACATCCAAAAAGACATCTAATTCACCTCCGTCTATTACTGTCCCAAAGGGTTCAGGCCCATCCAAAATCGGATGTTCTTGTTTTTTCGCCCTCGTTCGACCCTTCTCCGAAGCTCCAAAACCATTATATGGTACCAGGTGGACCCTATGGATATGGGGGACCGGGCCGGTCTTCAGTCGAGCCTGACACCAGAATCCAAGGTCGTGCCTTTTCCCAGTCTCCGGTGACAATCACCCCATAGATCCACCCCCAAAAAGCGACCGAAGAAGCGTCCTCCAGGGGAACGGGCGCGGACCTGAATCTTCAGCGGACGGCTGACCAGGCATGTGGCATGTGGCGCAAAGGGGCAAACAAAGAGCATTGTACGGTGTTTGTTTGGGACATGGAAGGTTTAGAGCATCACGGGATGCCACGTTTTCACCAATATTTAATTGCAAGCTGCCACTTTGCGCATCATGCGCATCATGCGCATTCCGAACGCTGCCCAACTCCTCCGCGGCCGACTCCCCCCGGATCCGCCACCGATCCGCCACGGGAATCGACGTTCTCCGTAGCACTTCGACCCACTCCGTGAGGCCGGTCTTCCACCGAAGAAAGGGACGACGAAGGCCACGTCGAAACGAAGGACCCTTCGACCGACTTCCACAGGTCGGCACATCAGTCCGACGGTCAGCGGTTTTCTTTGGTTCGACACGCGACCAGTCTGGGACTGGCCAGGATGGACTGCCGCCCCAGACAGACCCCCAAAACAACCACCCCAATGTATGGATTCGTACGCCAGTCCCGAGCGTCTGGGTTTTTGGGCATGGCAATGCTGCCATCGAAGTTCTTCAAGCCGCAAAGAACAAGAAGGGTGCTTGAGCAAAGAAGGTCTCGATATGATTGACCACTGAGCCACTGAGTGTCAACCTACTCTAAGTACCTACCTCGATCTACACATCTCTACACTCTACCACCTCTGAGCTCCCCCTGCTCTGCAGCCTCTGGCGGATACCCTGAGGCCTCCGGAGGATGTGGCTGCTGGTACTAACTATCCACTGATGGAAACATAGATGGAAGCATAAGCCAATCCCTTCACCCAATTAGTTACCCACCGAGTGATCGACGTCGCTTCTCCGTCGAAGCTTCGATGTGCAAAGGCTCACGTCACTCATCAGCACCTGCCAAAATCAAACAAATAACTTCACCACAATAACTTAACCACCAACAAACAAATAACTTAACCACCGAACTCGACGAGTGGGTCGTGGGGCAATGTCCGCCACTCCTTGGGGGCCCCCCCCACGACCACGGAGGCCTCCTCCGTCTGCATCGCCGCCAAGGAGAGCGTCGGCAGGCCCGCGGTCGAGTCCTTCTCGGCCACGTCCTGAAGGCCACGTGGATCGAACTTCAGGACTGTTTCAGTGAAGGAAAGCAGCTTGAAAGAAGCAGTGGTGACCAGGGGGGGTTGGAAGTATTGTCAACTCGTTGGTTCACTTTTCTACACCCAAACTGGATGGATCCACATATAGTTCTTGGATGGAACATGATGGAAGCTTGAGGCTTTTGGGCTTGGGATATGCTTTTGGACTGATTTGAATTACTCATTTAGGCCACATCCATTAGCCACATCCACCTCTTTCAAAGATCATCACATCTTTTCCCTCCCTCCTCAAGCCTCCAAGCCCACAGGAGTCGACAGCTACCTACAGGATCACACTCCGCCAACCTACTGTCATCAATATTAGTCACATCAGTAAACGGCCCCTTCCGCCGCACCCGCTCACCGCCGTCGCCACCCGCTCACCGCTCCTCGCGAAGCCACTCTTCTCCGAAGTCCCAGCGCAGCAGCTCGGGGTGCACCAGCCGTGCCTCGGTCCGGCGGGCGCTCGCTGGATCGAACGGACGGTAGTCGGTCGGTCTGCAGGTCAGCGGAGCGGGAAGCAGCGGAACGATATAGACAGACGTGGAAACGGAGTCCGGTCGAGTACTGCACATGGAGTCGCCCAAGACGACCGACTCACATGACGTTCGTGCCGCTCCCATGACTTTTGCTCCGATCGATGTTTTGTGACCTGTGAAGACTGGCGACATCCAAATCTGCTGCTAAAAGTTGGTGGGGACCTCAACATTGACAATGTTTCCCATGCAGGACGCGATACTTATGAAAGGGTATTGTCCATTGACTACAGCATCGAAACCAAATGAAACCAGCTTCCACCTCCTTCCCGAGTCACATGCTCCGGTCGACGTGTCCGTGTCCATGTCGGTCTGAGTTCCCATGCCCAGCAGTTCATCTGTCGGCCTTGTTTGTCCACGCCTCAGGTGGGTGCCAGCTGGGAATGAGTATTATGCAGGACCTTCAGTACGTGACCTCTTTGGAGTCTCTAAGTGATCTCTTTTGGGGACTAAGTGACCTCATTCTAGGATCTCAAGGACGGTCACTTTGAAGGTCCTGGATTTTACTCAATCATGAATGACCCAAACGCTCCATTCACAGCCCTTTGTTTCCCTCACATCAACCCCAAACCCCTGACCCCAGGATCTCAAGTGCTCTGGTCACCGGACAAATACACCCGGAAGGGATTGGAAGCATGAGTTCCATCATGGAATCGTGTGGAAGATTGCACGGCGCGGAGCCTGCCGGACATAAGTTCTCAGTCCAACACAACTAAGAAACGACTCTGAGGCAATTGAGAGCAAAAACCAACCATCTAATATATAGACGCGCATGTGTGATGTGATTTGCGATCTAAAAACATGGAACAAATCTGATCTCATGACCTCATGAGATACCCCCAAAGAACAAGTTGAGCCTGGAATGAGGTGATGAAACATGATGGACTTTCCCAGATGTCCAAACATTCCAAACTGCTTGTCAAAGCCTTTCGGCATTCTGGGGTACTGACCAGACTTTGGATGATTAGTGACGACATGTGACGACCGTTCCCTAGGTCAACTAGACCCCTACTTCCTAGCTGGGACTTCTATATAGTATGCATTTTGGGAATGGCATTCTATTGCGGGCTTACTCCCCTTCCCTAGGTCGACTAAACCCCTACTTACTAGCTTACTAGCTGGGACTTCTGCATTTTGGGAGGTCCCAAACTCCTCCACCTCCGTCTCATCGAATCGATCCGCGCGCGTGCGTAAAGACGGCTCTGCCGTGGCTCTAAGAACCCCCAGCACAGCGTGGAGAGGATGGACCTCAAAGGACCGGGGTTCGATCGGTCTCTTTTGGAGCTGCTTGCTTTGCATGGTTGGCATTGGCACATGCTATATAAATATATGTGTTCTTTTACTTGTCAAGTTGACTATGCTGTGGGCCTGGTACAGTATAGAAAACACATGTTTTCGGGATGGCTTTCTTCTCAATCCAGAAGGGGAACCTCGCAGCGGAAAACCTCCGAAACCTCGACCCCGCCGACCGCCGACCCTCCCAATGAGCCACCGGTCACCCGCTTCTGCCGGGCGCTCCGGACGGTCCCTTCAACTGGACGTCGGTGATGAGATCGTCGCAGTTCTGATCGTCGCAGACCGTCGGCATGACACGTTTCGCACGCACGCACGCACGACAGCGAGGGACAGCGAGGAGGTGAGTTCTGAGGGTGAACACATGTGAGGGGGGATGTGGAAATCTGAGGAGGAAGGGGATGCTGCTTCCGAGATGAGGGAAGCGGGGAAGGAAGCAATGAAGGGAGCTTTGACAGGGTGGCTGATTTGGGTTTCCATAAAGAAGGTCCGCGCGCCTTCAAAAAGAGGACAATGTGGAGTGGGTACATGTGGGTCTTGGATGGATCTCAACAAAGATCTCCTGCTCTTTTCAGGTCCCCATGCGCCAACGACGGTTTGGGAGAAGCGGGTCGGATGTGCGACCACGTTGGACCGGCTTGGACTCTGAACAGAGGTCTCCATCCATGAAGGTCTCCACCCTGAATTGCAATCTTCACAACCTACAACCTCCGAATCACATGTCCAAGACTGAGCTATACTCCAATTAGGCCGCGCCTTTCAAATCTGTGGATCCTGGATACTGGATACTGCGAGGCACCATGCCCACGTCCGCCCTCATGCCCTCCATGCAGTTTTCGGCGCCGAAGGGCCCAGAAGATCTTGCTCCCACGGATCGTGCCACCACTCCAAACACCTCCGCGACGAGCTTCGCTGAGCTTTGCGTGGCAGCTCTACGTAGGCATCAGCCCCCGTATCAAGAGAAACACTGCGAGGAAAACTCACATGGAAGTGGAGTGAGTTCACCACCTCTTTGGTATTCGGAATAACCAGGTAATCTTTCAAGGAGTGTAATCCTATACATCCTATAAGTGGTTGTCAAGGGCAAACTGACCTTACACGGCAGTTCTCGAAGCATGGAATACCCATGAAGATGCCAGCGATGATGCTGCGCGTGATTGTTTCCGCCAGCGCAAAAGAGACCATAATGATCTATTTACACCAACATGAAGAAAAACACAAGAACACACTCCGCATGCAAACATCCCAAGAACGCTTGAGCGTGCCACACCCCAGCGTTTCTACGTAAATTCAATAGATGTTCTCTGCAGGGTATTGAAGAGTACTGAGTGGTGGTCGGACGCTTTGAGAACAACTCTTGATCCCCAAGTTGATCGATGTTGTCCATTGCCCCTCATGTGCTCCTCATATGCTCCTCATCAAGACTCTGCAATCTCGGAGATCCATGGAGATCTCTGAACTTCCTGAACCTTTTTTCCCTTTGGCTGAATCACCACTGACCAAAGCTTCTCTCTTCAAAAATTTCAAAACACCTCAACATGCAAACCTCCACCCAACATGGATGGCCACCCTCCGGTCACCAGTCTGGTCTTCGGCTGACCGCTCGCCTTCGAAGCAGCTCGACGTGGGACCGGCGATGTGGCCGGCTGCGTGGGGCGATGCAGCTAAGCGCTCGAGCACCTGGCAGGCGGGCGCCTGCGCGCGCGCGCGCGCCGGGTGCGCGCGAGGCGGTGAGGAGAAGGGAGAGAGATAAGATGGACGGAGAGACATGGGCGACTGGGCCAGGGTGAAGTGCAGGCGCGCTGAGGTGATGAGGTGAACGATATGATGCAAGTCATCGGTTTTTTGGGGAGGGCAAATGCTTTGAGACCAATTCTGTTTCTTGTGGCAACTACATGATTCTGACAAAAAAAAGAGGATCCTTGCGGCTGCAGCTGAAGCAATGCACCTTCTGACACTGGTGAGGGGAACTCTCCAAATCCATGCTCGGTTAACCGAAGGCCAGAGGACCGACGCCCTCAGCCGCCGACCACTGAAGGACTGCATATTTATAGTATGTTTTTTGCATGTGTTTTGATATGTGTTTGGATGTTGTTGGTTTCAAGTCGTTTTCCACTGCCCGTGGTGCGAGTTATGCTGCCCGAACCGCCTTGCATTTCTAGCAACTTATGTGGTTCCTTCATTTCCTCTTTTCTCTTCCTCTTTCTCTTGCTCTTTCTTCCCTTCCTCTCTTCCTCTTCCTCTTCTTCTGCTTCCTATTCCTGGCCTCTTGCTCCTTTCTCTTCCTAGGAGACACTGAGAGACCTAGCGAAAGAGCGACAGAGAGAGCGAGAGAGAGAGAGTGAGAGTGTGGGCCGGCGCCCGGCTGTCAGGCGTAAGCCTTCAAATCATTCCAAATCCCATCCGATTCCTTTCTCGGGCTCCAGGTCACGTGGGTGGCCATTTCCCTCAGCTGCAGGTCCTGCGCGGGCAGTGCAACAAAGCTGCCAGGGAGGCGGGTTCCAGTGGCATGGTTCATGGCTGGTAAACCTGGCAAATGCCTGAGGGAAGCTGGTATCTCTAGCCTATTTACTATATTGTTTCTACACTGCGGACTGCAAATCCTTCAAGAATGGTTGGGCAAGTTTGGGGAATGGATGACACTTTTTGCTATGTTGTACCACGAAGGCACCCATGATCAATCGAGTTAGTGTTACTTAGAGATTGATACACTTAGACATGGGTGACTTCTCTTAGTGGTTTGACGGACAGCCTCCAAAAACGAAATGGTCTCAAAGTTTTGCCCACCAAACGACACGAGAAGGTCATTACATGTCATTACTACATGCTGTGTTCAATCTATTACAGGTATCCGGTTATATCCATCAGCTTCAACCGCTTTCGTTTTCGCTGCTTCCCGCTTGCCCGCCGGGTCCGGGTGCCGTAGGGCGCCGGCCACGGTGTCCAGGCCGTGATGATCGCCACCTGGGCGGCGCGGAGGTCTGGCCGGGCCGGGCTACGAGGCCGGGCCGACTCAGTGCAAGAGGGGCTCTAATGGGCCTAGTCTTCCGCTTACGTAGTATTAGTTAGAGTTGAGAGTATTGGAACCGTGGGCTTCCGTCTTATGCTGAGAGTATTTGTTCGTCTTCAGTAGCTTACGTTTTTTTGCCTTAGGCTCGATTGGCACGAAATGATGTTTGGTCTTGGTCTTGGAGCGGGGGGATCACCTCACAAACACATCATAGTAGGATGTATTTTTTCAACACCTGTCCAGTCAGGTTCACACTTTTCGTTTCTGTGGACAGGTCCTGTGGTACAGCTGTGGGTTCCTTCCGCCTCCACACCGAGCGAAACAGGATCGTTCTCCGGAGGTTCTCCGCGTCAGACCGGCTTCCCGGCTCGGCACCAGCAGCAACAAGGCCTTCAGCGCCGCAATGGAGGCCTGGCTCGCGTGCCACGCAGGCGGAGGACGAGGAGGAGGTCAGGGGAACAACAGCTCTCGGACACTTTGAGCTGCTTCCGACACATCATAGATGAACGAAGTCCCTTGTCGGCTACTCACTATACAGTGTTTATGAATGTTTATGAGAATACTAACTTGGAAGAGTCCCAAATGCGAAACTTCCCACGTGTAATGCCGATGGGCCATGCATCAACAGCATCATGTTCCGGCACAAACTGAACTGGTGCCATTCATTTCATGGTCACTATCCTCTACTGGCACCAGTTTCAAGTTGTATAATCCTCCATCAACTGCAGTGATAAATGGAAAACAAACAGCTGAGTCACAACGCATCCGCACCTGTGGGTAGTCTTCATGGATGCACTCACCGACCAGGCTGATGGCCTGGCATGGCGACGAACTCGGTGGTGTGGAAGCTGTTGGATGATCGCTATAACTTTCAACAAAGAAGATGGCGTGGATTCAGTATCACATCGATTTTAAGAAGATGTCATGGAACTCTGGTCAGCCAATCCTCCACATCCTCCATCGGGATTTCTGGCAAATGGCCTTTGCTTGTGATGCTTTCAACCCATACCTGCTTTATCTCCCGCCCAAACATGACTTGAAAAATGATGAGATGATTAAACACGCAAAGATCTTGATCCCCAAACCCAAAAAGTCTCATCCAACATGTTGACACATCTCTAAAGGGGTGCTCCACATTTTAGACGCCCCTGGCCGTCAGATGTAAATCATAAACGTCGAGGTCTCCATGAAAACACCCAACCTCCCCCTTTTGGTGGAGCTTCGAAGTCCTTCGCACTAGGCCCCCCGTCCGCGCCCAGCCAAGCGCCTCGGCGTCGCCCGGGGCGAAGGTCGCCAAGGCGCGGCAGGCCGCCTCGTGGCGAAGCACACGCAGTGTGGGAGGTGGCGCAGGAGTCGTCCTCCTTCAACTTCAGTGAACTACTGAGTCGCTGAGATATCGTTGATTGATGTCATGAGTCATCAGTGAACTCACAAGGCCAACCTGGAAGCAACTGCAGCCTTCTGGCCAAAGCTCCCTTCTGACTTCCACCGCTCTCTCTACCACTTCCCCTTTTCGCATTCCGCGCTCAGTGCATTCCGGGCGTTCCACGCGCGCGGTCACCGCGGGTGTCGCCTCTTTAAGGGTCTCCCGCTGTGGCGGCGGCTTCTCGTTGCGACAGAGCCGCGCTAAGCACCTCATCACCTGGCAGCAGATCCAACGGGAATCCAATGGATCGGCCGCTGGGGGAGAAAGCCCATCGACGAAGTAGGACAGCGGGAGTGGATCACATAGAACATATGCCATGGAATGTTGCACAACTCTATACTGGGCATCTTTGATTGTATGATCCCAAGCCAAACACTAGCTTCAGAGCAGAGTTGCAATTTCCAAACACTCCATGTATGGCATAAATGCCTACATTGGGGGTGGTTGAAATCAACATAGGGCATCTATTCCAGTTCCATGGATAAGTACATTAAAATTTCGACTTGATGATCTATGATGTTTCACCGAACTTATGATCGTTTGCCATTGTCCGTCGGACGATGAACATCAAGATTCGTAGGGCTTTCAGGGTCTGCCGCCGGTCAAATCGAAACGACAAATGGAAGGGGTTCTTTCCACAAACACAATCTATTTGGACCTTCAAGAGTACATAGTACCCTACACCATTACATTGTCGACAGTGGCTGTCGATGTTGAGTGCTAGGGACCTGATTGAGTGATACATCGACTGTTGGTAATACCCAATGCTCTTCATCCACGCAAAGGACAAAGCTAGCAACGCCCAAGTTGGGGTATCGACATGTAATTCTATACCAATACCTAAATTTTCCAGGGTGCTTGAACATTAGGGGGTCTTAATGGGTGTAGGCATCCGTTCGACTCGCATTGGAGTGCCGTGGTATCTGGTGTTCGAAAGAACCAATCTACCAGGACCATCCTGGACTCCAGGGTGTCCTGGCTGGATAGTCCCAGCCCACTGTCGGGATCTCCAGACAGGACACCCCGGTCCACTCCAGGTGCTTGAACGGTGCTTGAACCTTCGGGTGACATCGGCCTCTGTTCGAGTCCCATATGACCCTGGATGTCCTGACGCGTGGACCCTTTGGCAACAAACATCGACCTCTAAAAATCGACCTTCGAAGTCGAGTGAGTCCTGACTGAGAGACCTGACTGACCTGACCTGACCTGACCTGACTCCAGGGTGACAGCGAGTCCTCAGTGGATGACCTGACCCTGACCCTGACTCAGTCGGACGTCACCTCGACTGACCTGCGACTCCACTGAGGACTCTGTCGAGGACACTGAGGCCCCGCTCCTGGTGGTTTCCTCTAGAGGCCACGGATGGCAAGGCCTTTGCATCACATCGAAGGACGTGTCCGGTGGCTGGCAGTTGAACGTTGTTGTTTTTTGAGTCTAAGGGGACCTGCCTTGGAACTTCTTTTTTTGGGGGGATAAAGAACAAAGGATTGCATGCTGGCAAGTCTATCTTATCTGTTCATTCTCATTGCTCTTGTCTCAGCTACATTGTACCACTCTTTTTGCATGCATAATCCTGCATATACATCAAACCCGACCTCTTGGTAGTTCTTTCGTGATACCAAAGTCCACCCGACCTCACCTGATTTCTTTGGGGCGACCCCATGGGGTCTGGCATCTTCGCGCCGGCCTTGGCCACTGCGCCGCGGACGTGTTCATCCACGTCCTCCAAGCGCTCCAGGACCTGACGACGGCAGGACGGGACGGGTCGGTCGTCTGCACTCGTTGAGTCGGTCTTTTAAACCCATGGGGAGCCTGACAGCCTGACATATCAGTGTTACAGTACTGTTACTATAGTTATATTAGACTTTTGTTTGTTTGAAGGTGTGAGTATGCGAAGTGTGGCAGTTGATTTGGGAAGAAGATTTAGAGTTCTTGATGTATTTATAGTTATATATCGTGCTGAATCCTGGCTTGATGGGCAAGATCTGAAAGCAGATCAAAGCCGGCCTGCTCAGTCACACAATAGTACTCGGCCCGTCAACCATTCTCACTCGGGTCACCAGAAATGCTTTGACTCACTCTGTTCACTACAACCTACTGGCAGAAAAGGATCGCGGGTTGGCAAGTGGGCATCTTTCCAGTTCAGAAGCCAACTACAACTGGACAAATACAACTACTACAACTCACTCTGTTAACTACAACTACAACTACTGGAGAAAAAGCTTCTTTCCAACATGTTCCAACGAGGACTCATAAGGAGGACTCGCGTCGACTCGGTCATCCGCCTGCGTCAGGACTCGGTCATCATCCTCTTCCTGAGAACCAAGGCACAAAGACTGGATTGGAACGGGGAGATCAGATACTTTTTGGCTGGGTTGTATCTACTAAACTAAATGAGTAGTAGATGGCTAGAACTGTTGGCCGCTTTTCGTGCAGGAAACCTTCAACTGAATGACTGTTGATTGAATAATATCCAGTGTGGTGTCTAGGTCAACACCTCAATCTGATAAACCCTAGCGGCAGTCAAATGCAGAGTAAGACTTTAACAAACCGATCATCCAAGATGCTGGAAACATTGGCACAGTTTGGTGCATCGGTGTAGCGCGGTGTGGCTTATTAACCAGAAGAAAGTCCTCCAACTCCACCGTGGGAATGAACACATCCGAGATTCCACGGTTCCATTGATCGGCGGTGCTTCCATTCAAGGCTGCCCAGCGGTGCCCCAGTTCTTCAACCTTCCCCTTTACTACCCTCCAGCAGATTATCATGGACCTACTAGGAACAAGAAGCTACTAGGGGCTCCTGGCATCGCTACTAGGAGCAAGGACGCTACGAACGGGGCTCCTGGCCGTACTACGAACGGAGCACGGGGACGCTACGAACGTAGCAGGGACGCTGTCGCAACACGTCCCCGGGTGCCCCGGGCGGCACAGACTGCCAGGGAGGAGAGCGCTTGGGCGCGCACCGAAGCCTGGGAGACGAAACGCTCGAGTGAGAAAGTTCCCCCAAGTCCAAAACAATGGGTTACTCCTTAATTAAGATACAATATAGGTTGATTGGACTTTGATTTGTGAAGAGAAGTGGGTTGCTCCTATCCGCAAGCAATAGATCAAAGCCTTAGATTAACCAATTGTGTAGAGGTGCTTCCTCCAAAAAGCACCATTGGTAGAAATGGCATTTCAATACATGTGATAGAAAGGCTTATACAGGTCAAGACTATAGACACCCAGCCCAAGGAAGCCAACAGCTGCAAGTATCGAAACCATTGTTCCTTCTTTTGTGTCATGACTACCTACAGGAACCACCAACATTCACAAACTCGTTTACCCACACCTCACATATCTCTGAACCCACCCCAAACCCCACCTAAGCAAAACCACCCCATCCACCGATGCATCCGAAGCCCATGCACCGGTCGCCTCGGCGTCTGCCAAGCGCGCCAACATCGCCTTCGTCACCCTCGCATCGCCCCCTGAAGACGGACCGCCGCTGGAAGCGGAGAGGAGGAGACGCGTCGTTGTCACACAGGGGCCGTGTGGGTGGATTTGCTTTTCGTTTGGGACCCAGCAAATCCACGTGTTTTGTTTTTACATCCTCTGTTTGGAACATGGAAGAAGAATACTCGAACAAAAGATCTACGGAGAAAAAAACAGCTTCACATTGTTTTCTCTGATACAATCTCATGTTGCTTCTCTTCTATGATCATCTCCACTTTCCAAGCGATTCCAAGCGAGGTCTCGGGCGTTCGGCGAAGTGTTCCAAGGCTTTCAAGACCTCCATGCCTGGGTCGATCAGCGAAACGTGAGGGTCCTCTCAAAGTTCTTCTTGTTTCCGTCTATGGGTTGGACACCTTGATCCAAGAATACTTCGTCCTGGGATTAAGCAAACAGAAAACAACCATAAACAAATATAACATGTGGGATTCCATGAGCTACCCTGGGCATGTATGATTTGTCTCCCAACCAAACAGGCAACCCATCCAGCCAGGCAGTCCGTGCAGCTCTGGTGAGCACATTTGGGAGGCTGGACACAAGTCTGGTACTTCAGGGTATTTGCAAGATAGTTCCATGATGAATCGATGCTCAGCTCAGGGGGTTGAAGGGGATGTTGTACAAGAAACTGCTACAGAATGCAGTCGTGAGCGCCGCAATTGGATTTTTGAGAGGAGAAGGCATCCTTCCCTTGACCGAAGATGTCTTTTATGCTTTCCTGGAGGGTGCAGCCCCCAAAACATCACATGAAATGCCGCTCAAATGGGAAGCCCGTCTTGGAAGAGTCTATCATTGGAGTCTGTCCGATGGTTCTCGCACGAGAGGTGACGACACCTAGACGACTGGACCTATTCCAAAGAGAGATTTGGCACTCTTGGGACAACACCAACCGTTTTGTGTTTTACCCATGCTTTTCGGCGAGATCTCTTCACACCTTGTGCTTGCAAATGCCATCAAGATGTCTGTCTTTCTGCGGGCCAGCAAGTTACCATGGATTCACTTGGGATTCGCCCTTCATCTCGACTCTATGTGTGTTTTGCCAATTCTCAGCTCACTGATGGTCAGTTCGCCCATTATGAAAACTCCACCTCTGGGAGCTCCTCACGGCCCCCAGCATTGGCCCTTGGCACCGCGGGCGAAGATGTGGCCAAGCCGCTGCCGTTTCGCAGCCGCGGCGAGAGCTGGGGGGTCTGAAGCTATGTTTCAGTGACCTTGAAACTGAGTTTGGGCACCCAAACTGTATAGAAAGGAAAATCATATAGTACTGATCAAAGACCGACTGGTGCAACGAAAGTAGGGAATAAGGGAAGTTTCGCCCCCAATAGAGATTGTATTGGATCCAGCCACCCTCATTCCCTGCTAAGCACCAGTCAGAAGATGGAGTTTGAATATATACTTTCAGAGGGACGACCTCTTGGCCCCAATGGTTTTTTGGTCAATTTATGTCTATTTCCCAAACCTTTCAGGGGTTTTGCCTATAGGAGGGGAGACCTCCCATGGTCTCCTATTCTACTACCATTTCTACCTGCTTCTCCGACATGCGGACCCCCTTGAACCTGGACCTCCTGGACCCTTCCTGGGGCCTCCCGGCGTTCCGGTACGACTCAACAGGAGTGGCAGCACCACATCGCAGCTTTGAGGCACCACCTGCCACGCAAATCGGATGTGGAGGTATGAGGTAGGGAGGACCAATGGCAGCGGAACAAATCCTTGGACCGGAGTGGTAGACATGGACACCCCAAATCACCTCTTTTTGGGGCAGTCCAAATGGACACCCGATGTTTCCGTGGTGCAACCAATGGCAGGGTGAACCCTTGTTCTTGGGTCGTTGAAGGACTTGTCCCAGTGGCAGCTAAGTGCACCAGCTTTGGGAAAAGGAATCAGTCAACACATGATGAAACCCGCCGGCACGCAAAGTTAACGGCAAGAATTCCCAACGGGATAGTTGCATCAAAGGAGTCTTCAGCAACAAGTCAAGATTTTGGGTTGCTAACTTCGACTCACCCCTACCCACAAGATCCGTTATGTAGGGCCGGACTCTCCCTGCAGTAGGTGTTTTTTCCTTTCATTTGGCGAAACAGGTGCCTCACAATCTGAAGGTTGCCTCGAAACAAGGTGCACCAAACTGAATAGCTTTTGAATTTGTGTCCAACCAAAACAGCGTGGTGCTCTTGCCCCACATAGAAGAGTTGAAGAAACATCAATCAACCAGACAAGTTATACGCGAAGTTATACTCAAAAACCTCAGCCCAAACACTGCGCAGCGGTTCGTTCCGCACTCCCGCCTCTCTCAGGGTTCGTTGCGCACTGCGCCGCACCGGCGGGTGCTCGTCGCAGAGGTGGCGAACGAGCTCCGCCACGACCTCGGGAGACACGGCTGAACGGTGGCGGCGCAAGGCCAAACTGTTCGACCTTTCCCTATCAAGTCCGGCCAAGTGAAACCTGGTCTGACTGACCTTATTGAGGTACTGGTGTTGTATGACCGGATCCAGTCAAATGAGGTCTGTAAGACCTGTAGGGTTTGGTGTTCCTGCAATAAAGGAGAATTTTGCAGGTTCACTGAGTGAGTAGCTTCAGGGGATCAGTGTTTCACGATGCTGCCCCGGTGAGTGGAAGGTCTGGAAATGCTGGAGGTACCTTTTTGCGAGGTCTTGGGATGTCGAGGTCTGCGAGGTCCCCAACAGCCAGCCATCAACATACCCCACCAAAGTTCCCTCAACACCCAATCAACCTCTTCCAAGCGCCAACAGCCTTCGATTCATCAACACCACTCACAACCGCCACGTTCGCCACGCTTCACCCGCCGCCCCCTTACGCCCGCCCTGTCACTCGCTGGGTGTCCACGGCCAACTCGTCGGCGTCGGCGGCGCGCTGCAGCTTCCACGCCACGGAGTTGCGCTCGCCCTGGGCGCGGAAGGCGAGCGCACGTCGAACGAGTCGAAGGGCAGAGTCGCAATGGCAGTGAACTGGCATGAATTTTGGTCCTAACGTTCTTTTTGTATATAGTATAGAGGAGATCGTGTACTGCGTACCCTTTTCTGTGATTCCATTCGGATGCTGCGAGATGATCTAGTCCTCATCTGAAGAAAACGATGGCTTCACCCGGATCTTCTGAATCCTGTCATTTTTGGAAAGTATACCGGATTTTCTCAAGCACATAAGGGTGGAATGTGTGGCCTTTGCCGAGAGGGAGTCTCTGGCCTAGCATAGCTGAGCGATGCTGAAGGTAACTTGTTTGTTTGGACTATCAAGAAAGGAAAGGAAACCGCTCATAGCCATTCGCAGCTCTGGAAAGTAAGGACCTCCAAAGGGTGGAACATTTGATCTACGTGGAGGAAAAGCACTGGCCAGGATGTCCAAAAGCGCAAGAAACTGGAAGATGAAAAGAGTCTGCGTGGGCTGTTCCTCTCCTGCAAACATGCTGTTGTTCCGAAAAAAGCCAAGGACAACAGCACGCCACAGTGCAAGCACGTTTGTTTGCCTACGTCCAAAAACACTCATCCACCTATATTCAGCACGCCGAGACAACCCACAGACATACCACCCAGAAAGGGCCTCATCACGGCTGGCGAGTCCCTGGATGATGGACTTGATCTCCTCACCGGAGGTGCCGTGCGGTGGTGAAACGGGGAAAACCACCCCAAGCGGTACGAGGCTGTATTTTACAGGATCAGCTCTAATAGTACTAACTACCTAGCTAACCCTGCTAGTCCGGTAAGCGCTACCTTTTGCTCTACCTTGAGAGTCAACGCTACGGGGTCCATGGGGATGAGGTGAATTTCAACACCCCCCTTTACAAGGAGCTACCCGTAGGGAAAATCTCGGGGAGGATCAAATTCTAGCGACGAAGGAATCATATTAGAAATCCCTCATCAAGCTCGTGCATGCACTATACAAGGAGAACGTAGCTACCCTAATGTACAGTTTTCGCCTCACTCGGCATGTGGTTAAACATGCTAGGCCCAGGTTAGTGTTAAGCATTGATTAAAAGTTCACTCTACGACTATGGCAATCCTGTTATGGATGCATTGGGAAGTGAGACAATGAAGTGAAACATCATCTCACAGCGCGTCAGAAGGTGATCTTTATCTCAACACTCATAAGCTGCAAGGCATACCATTTATGGTAGCTATTCAACATCTGCTTAAAGAAATTGTATTCCAAAACGCTCCGTCTCGTCATGCCATCCCTGCCTCAACCACTCCCACAATTCCATGTGATTGGGCCAATAGTTCTCGCCCCATGGGTCATCGCGTTGCCATTGTACTCCAGGAAAATCAAAGGGTTCCAATGGTCGATCAATAGTTCCACGAATGCTGGAAGTCGGCGGCCCAGTTAAGGGTGCATTATGTGACGATGATGCCGAAGCGGATGAAGTTCCGGGTGGCAATGGCGGCGGTGGCACGTTTTGTACATTCCATTGCTGTGGAGCATAAGGTCCTCCTCGAACACTCACCTGCTGCTTATCCTTGCCCTTTCCTTTTACGGAAGGTTGCAACCGACTGTAAAGGTCTGTAAGCGGCGGCGGCTTCGGCGTGAGATTGAAATCTGTCGGCCTTGTATGTACCGGAATGCCACTGGCTGTATTGGGTGGCACTTTCGGTGGAGGAACCTTTGGAGGAGGCACCTTTGTTGGTGGGACCTTCGGAGGTGAAGGTTTTGCTGGGCGTGGTTTTGAAGCCGGGGATAAGCCGGCCGTTGGTGCATCATTTGGTGCAGGTGGTGGAGGTGGTGATGCTGGGGCCTCTTTCACCGGTACTGACGGTGGATTGGAAGGAGGCTTTGGGATTGACGGTTTTGCAGGAGTGGATGGTGGAGTGCGAAGTGGAGGACCCAAAAGGTCCTTGGGAATGTTGCCACGCTTAGGTGGAAGGTCTTCACGGCTGCGAGATATTGCACGGGCAACTGAACCACGTGGCGTCCCTTTTGCGGGAGCAGTGGAACCTGACGCAGAAGAACTGCCTTGCCCTTTGCCCTTACCGGCAACATCTCCTCGCACACTGGCATCCCGTTTATGGGAGTCTCCTTTGCCTGATACTTGTCCTTGAGCAGGAGGTGCATTCATACGGAATACCGACGAGGTATGCGTCCCTGTTACGGGAGCTGGCGGCTGAGGCACGCCTGGCGGTGGAGTCCGGTTGTCAACCCAAGTTGCAATACGACCAGATTGATCTCGGTCTTCTTTCCTCCTCCACTGCAGCCTCGGTCGTTTGTCTGCATCTCCAATAGTCTCCATATACATCTGCGATCGCTTCCGCGTCAACGGGGGCCTTGTTACAGGTCCTTGAGGAGATGGGGATCCACGCTGTCCAAACTCCAACAAAAGTTCTTCCAACCTTCTGACTTCGTCAGATGACATGTCCTGGCCACAATCGGCAAACTTGGGATAAGGCGTGGCCATGCGCTGTTCGATGTTCATGAAGCCCATCTGTGAAACTGGCTGTCCACGATCGCGTCCCTGCATATTTGCAGACTGTTGCGCGTTTCTCTGATATTGAATGTTTGCATAACTTTCATTCTGCTCTGCAAACTCACTCAAAATCTTGTAAATGCCTGTCGTGTCTCCACGAGGAATACGAATTGAATGAATATCGCCATAGACGTCCGTCGTGGGGATAAAGCCCTGGATCTTGATCTCATCTCGGCTATCGCCAATTACGGCGGCGTATTGTCGGAGTGACATAAACTCCCGGCGATAACTGATCAGAAAGTCCTCGTTGACGCCTTGCTTGAAACAGGTATGTAGGTTGTCAACACCGCATCGAATATACGCGAGCTTGGCGAGGTCAACCCTGTCCAGTCGATCCAAATCACTGACAACCGACTTCCCTTTTGATCTCTGCTTCGCTGATCTCGTGGGTGCCGGTAATTGCAGTGACGCAAACAAGTCTTCTTGCGCTGCATCAAACGCTGTGCATCCTTCTCCGGTTAAGGAGGTGGCGAAGACGTCGTCGCGGTTGAATCGATCGAATACATTCTCATACCCTGATTTCAATGCTTTGCGAAGGCGACTGCGAGCTGCAAGAATAATCTGACTGTCAACTGACGGGCTGCCACGAGCTGGAGGTCGTCCAGACTGTAGGTCCTGCGCGGCAATGCTGTCAAGCATGCTTGTTGCGGTCATGTTCTTGGGCACGCCCCCCTGCTCTTGTAGCACCTTTGCACGCCTCATCTGAAGTCGCATAAACTTTGAAATCGGTCCATCTGCTGTATTGCTCTGAAATACTACTCCGCATCGATGACAAGATGCCATTCCTGCTAAGGAAAGTGTCGTACATTTATCGCAGCTGAAAGTTCGAAGATGTAGAAAATATCCACTCTCGATCTGTGGTACAGCTGTATTGCGATTTGCCTCCATCTCTTCCTTCTTTGCGGCACTGCTGCTAGCTGTGCGTTCTTCGGGAGTGGCGTCGCTTGTACCTTCCAAAATGGTGCGTACTTCCGACACTTTTCCCGGGACCAATGTCACATCATCTTGCGGAACACCGACCTCAATGTTCGAAGGATCCAATGCCTGCGGCCTCGAATAGAAAACTTCTGGCTCCGCATTTGCGCGGGCTCGAGTTGCAAATAGAATACACGTATTCGGGACGTGATGGCTGGTAATCACCGCGCCAGAATTTGTGAGGAAAAGATCAACTCCTGCTTCAATCACATCCGGTGTTGAAAAACAAATCTCCACTGGTCGGTCAGCACGAACACCAGATATCGCCTTCTGGTTTCCCAGAGGTTGTGTTGAAAAGAAGGAATTGCCTTTGCTTTTCGGTCCACCGGCTCCACCGCCGGGAATGAGCCCGCTCGCAATAATGGATCGCGCAGCACCTTCATGCGTTCGGTGGTAAAGCCGAGGTGGTATATCGCGGTTCCCGTGCGCTGTCAAACGAGCATTGTACCTGTGTACATGGTCAGGACGGCAGTAGATTAGTACTGCTAGCACTTCATTTGATCGCGTCTCGAGAACGTCGTCAGTGTGGCCTTGTCCACATCGGATCTTGACGGGGGCGGCGAAAAGTTCGAGCTGCTCGTTCACACGAGAGTCGTACACGCATTGAAATTCGAAACGATCTTTGTTGTCATAAATAGCCATCGAAATCAACTCAAAAACATTCATAGAATCAGCATAATCAGGGAATTTGGCCTTCGCCAAATCTAGTAGTTTGTAAATTGGCAAATAACACGCCGGATCATAAATACTGACGTCTGGGACGTGTCCACGAAGAAGACCAGAAATACCGCGACGAACATGATGTGGCCAGGAGCAGCACCACTCCCAAGGCCCATGATGATAATCCTCATATACATAATAATACCTATGGCCAGTAACGTGGTACAGCACGTACTGCTTGGCGTCGCGGCCCAGCTCATCCTCGAGGAGTTGGATGTTGCCATTCCCGATGGCCTTGAGTAGGTGATCCGGGTAAGGATACCTTCCGAGAACCTCTTCAACCTCGACCTGCATATTTTTGTACTCGGGGTTAGGCTTCGTCTCGCGAACGAGAACGCCCTTCCCTTTTCCAGAAAATTTCAAGTCGGGGTTGTCGTTGTTCTCAGGTGCAAGAAAGCTCCCCGTTACGGGAGCGACCGAAGGGGTGCCTTGTCCCTGCCCTTTGCCTCGCAATCGCGGCAATGGTGGTCTCGGGTCAGATGAAGACGCTTGACCCTCTGCGGGTTGGTCCGCGTCCGTAGGGATCATAGGAACATCTCCGGTTGCACCTTCTTCAACAGTCGTTTCATCATCAGCCAAAACATCAAGAACCTCGGCCTCGATCTTCGCCATCTGTGGATCAGGTTCTGGTGCTGTCGGCAAGGCATTTACGCCTGCGATACCAGTATCAGGCCCAGGTACTTCGTCGGTTGCGCCTGTATAGCTATCGGGCATCTCAACGTCCGCGTCGGTTTCCTCAACCTTCGGCTCGACTTTTACGTCGGCTGTCGCAACGTCATCCATCGGCTCGTCCAATGCGGGCTGTTCCTCCGGTAGCTCAATAACAGGTACAACATTGACAAACTGCAACACATCTTGAGGATCTTCGCCTTCCAGGTTAACGGAGGCCTTGAGCTCTTCGACTGACACGTCATTCGTCTCAAAGGGGCTGTACGCTTGTACTTCCTCGACAGTAAACTGCCTGCTCTTCCCCAACGTCTGTTGCATTCGCGCGTTTCGCTGTTCAACAAATTCATTGATAAGTTGTAAATACGATTCCGGTATTTTGACTGTCGCTGAGGAATCCCAACTGTATTTAAATCTTCTCACCCTGTTGAGCGCGGCAATTCCCTCTCGGGAAGCTTCAACGACGTTCACATGGTACGACAATTTGACAATCGAGGTCACATAGTTCACGAAGCGATCGATGTTCTCCTGCGTCTTTCGCATATGCCATTGATCAACTTTATCGGATTGGTAAACCAGATTGTCAGGCTGGAATCGGTGTATGCCGAGACTCTCAATGATGTCGTTGATTTCTGCCCAGAAAATATCGACAAACGAAGGCAACTCAAAAAGATAAGAAGATATTCCACATATACAGCAGAGCTCGTCGGAGATCTCCTTGCATTCGGCTAACAGTTTAACGTTGCCAAGGATGCGCGCCTGCGTA